TTTTTTTAGTCGGGGCTCCTCTCCCGATTGGGCCGCCGCAGGAAGAGGAGGAGGTAAGTGGTGGCGAGGCACTGAGGGGCCGGCGAGGGCCCTGATTGGTTGCTGGGGGGTAGTGAGGTGTGTGTGTGGTCGAAAGGGGGGGGGGCTAAAGTCTATGCGTAGATCTCCGTGGTGGGGGCCTTCTTGTAGATGGGCTTCTTCCCCAGGTCGTAGCTGCCCTCGTCCTTCTTCTTCATGCGGTAGATGAGCAGCAGGATGAGCAGCACGGCGAACATCAGGCCCACGGCGCCCCCCGCAATCAGAGCTGTAAAGCACAGGAATCCCGTTAGCACCTGAACGCACCGCTCAGCAGAACCAGACAGAGCCCGGGGAGATCCCAGCCTACCACCAGATCACAGAGATCTGAGGGGACCGGGTCAGGTTATCCTGGTTCTATTTGGAGGAGAGGACTCAGACCAGGGCTCGGTCACACTAACGGGCCAATGGGAGCAGGGCTAATGTCCCATGTGACCCGAGAAAGGAGAGGATACTGTGTGGGATCCATTTAAATGGAGGAACATGTGAGTGGGGAATTCTAAAGAAAATCACTGAGAAATCAGCTTTTCAGGTCTTTAGATGAAGGAAAATCATAGTTGTGTTCAAAGAGCTCAGAAATCTCAGCGTCTCCACGCCATAATGTGTCAGAGGTCCTTTTTCTGTTTTTTTCCGTCTTAGTACTAAGTTTTAGATCATCAGTGTGGAGAGATTACATTACATGCTGTTCTTGGTCTTTTTTTTTAGCTCAATTCTTTTGTCTTTTCAGCCGTTTTTGGCCCTTTTTGTGGTCCTTTGTCCTTTTTTGTCCTCTCAGTACCAAGTTTTAGATCTTTTACTTGTATATTCAGGGTCTCATTCAGGTTCTGACCCACTGTGGGAACTCTGGGAGTTTTACATGCCGTTTTCGTCTTTTTAGCTAAATTTTCTGGTCTCTTCAGCCCTGTGTTTGGTCTTCTGAGGTCTTTTGGGAGCCCTTTGTCCTTCCCCCCCCCCCCCCTTATTACCTTTTTTTTGTTTTTTGGTTTGGGTGGGTGTTAACCAGGTTTTGACCCACTGTGGGAACTGTTTACATACTGGTTTTGGTCTTTAGCTAATTTTTTTTGTCTTTTCGTCCCCATATTTGGCCTTCTGAGCCCTTTTTGTTGTCCTTTGCCCTCTTTTTTTGTCCTCTTAGCATCTAGTTTTAGATCTTTTACTTCTATATTCATGGTTTCATTCAGGTTCTGACCCACTCTGGGAACTGTTTACATACTGCTTTTGGTCTTTTTAGCAATTTTTTTTGTCTTTTCTTCCCCATTTTTGGCCTTCTGAGCACTTTTTGTGGTCCTTTGTCCTCTTTTTGTCCTCTTATACTTCTATATTCATAGTTTCATTCAGGTTCTGACCCACTGTGGGAACTCTGGGAGGTTCAGCTGGATGGATGGATGCTAACACAGTTAGCTTCAGCTGCTTAGCCTGGAGTTAGAGGGAAAACCACCCACCTGCGAGGACCTCGGTCTTGTTGAAGATGCTCTCTCCCCGGGACATGAGCACGTTGGACGGCTGCTCCTCGGCGGGCTCGTTGCTCAGCACGGAGATCTCGTTGCCGTCGACGACCTCGGGCTCTCCGGCGGTGGGCCTCAGCGGGCGCTCCAGGCCGGGGATCATGTTCTCTCTGACATCGGGCTGGAAAAGGGAAAGGAAAAGGAGTCAGAGATCAGGCCCCGTGAAAAGCGGCGGAGGGCGGGACACTCGGCGCGATGCCTCACCTTCCCCGACGGCCGGGCCTCTGAGGGGGGGGCGGCCGTTGCTGTGGAAACGGAAACAAGAGCCGGAGTTAGCATCGAGCTTCAAAACGGGGGGAAAATCTTCGTAAATGGAAGAGCCCACATAGACCAGAAATCAAGGAATTAGGGGTGGGACGGTTCACAAAATCCACGGTTCGGTTCAATTCACGGTTTCGTGGTCACGGTTTTCGGTTCGGTTTATGTTGATTGTTAGGAAAATCTATTATGTCTTGTATAGTCAGGTTAAAACTGAAAGAAAAAAGCAGTCTGATATTTGATCCATTATTGTGACAGTCTGAGGTTAAAAGTAGGTGAGATTCTGGCATTGCAAGAGAGGAAACAGTGCTAATTCCAGCATGTGCTTCCCTCTAAATGCAAAGTGGTCCATACAGCAGAATATAAACTGCTGCTGGGTCTGATTTTTATTATCGGCTACGCTGCTTCGCTTCTTCTTCTTGTTTACTACTGGTGGTTGGCTTTGGGCGCAGTAGCGCCCCCTTCTGCTCTGGAGTGAATTCTTAAGGGATTTTGGGTGTGATGTATGCTGTGAGTATGAATATGTGCATTGCTATATCTATGAAAAGGTAACTGATAAGTGCTGTCATATTCTGTGTTGCTGCCGGTGTTTGTGTTTTTGTTGTTGAATGTCATCTGTTTGTAACTGTGTTATAAAAGAAAGATAAATAAAAAAAAACTTTAACTCATTGGCTGCCAAACACGTCTATAGACGTCTTTTATGTTTTTCAACGAGAGTGGCTGGGGGACGATCTGCTAAAGCTTGTCCGTAAATATCGGCTTCTAGACAGAGTATGTAGTAACAAATTGACCCTCTAGGGGGCAGTGCCACTTTTGATGGGAGATGAGCATAGACTGTAGGCAAATAAGAAAAAGGGAACGGTTCGCTATGAGAGAACATGTCGCCGGTGAGACACAAGTCGAGGAAGAACGGAATAAGGTAGAAACACTTTTTTTTTTCTGGTGAAAGAAGAGAGTCTACTCTTTCTTTTGGTGTGTTCGGTGTTTACTTAGTCATAGCACAAACTATTCTGTGGCTCTTGATAAATCAGTCAAAATGCTCAAAAAACTCTGGCGGTATGGGACTCTGTTCTGAAAATGGCTGGCAGTCAATGAGTTAATGAAAAAAATAAAATAAATGGGGGGGGAAATAAAAAAACAAAACAACAGAGCACGGACCTCCGTCCCCGGACCCGGAGAACTCCTCGTAGAGCGGGTCGGCGAGGTCGTCCTCGCCCTCGTCCTCGTCGTCAGGGAAACCGAAGTCGGAGCCGTTGGGCGAGTCGCCCGACGCCTCCAGGGCGCCGCGGCTGGACAGGGACGCCATCTGAGTGGTCTTCATGGGCATCCAGGTCTCCGTCTCCCTCACCTGCTGGGACACCAGGGACAGGGGGGGGGTCAGGGGGGAGGCCAGCAGGACCAGGGCTTAGTCCAGACCGGTCTGGAGGTCTTAGTCCTAGTCCAAACTGGTCTGGAGGTCTCAGTCCGGACCGGTCTGGGGGTCTTAGTCTTAGTCCGGTCTGGGGGTCTTAGTCTTAGTCCGGTCTGGGGGTCTTAGTCCAAACCAGTCTTCAGGTTTTAGTCCGGACCGGCCGGCCTGGAGGTCTTAGTCCTAGTCCGGACCGGCCCGGAGGTCTTAGTCCTAGTTCGGAACGGCCTGGAGGTCTTAGTCCAGACCAGCCTGGAGGTCTTAGTCCAGACCGGTCTGGAGGTCTTAGTCCAAGTTCGGAACGGTCTGAAAGTCTTAGTCCAGACCGGTCTGGGGGTCTTAGTCCTAGTTCGGACTGGCCTGGAGGTCTTAGTCCAGGCCGGTCTTCAGGTTATAGTCCAGACCGGTCTGGAGGTCTTGGTCCAGACCGGCCTGGAGGGCTTAGTCCTAGTTCGGACCGGTCTGGAGGTCTTAGTCCAGACCGGCCTGGAGGTCTTAGTCCAGACCGGCCTGGAGGTCTTAGTCCAGACCAGCTGGAGGTCTTAGTCCGGACCGGTCTGGGGGTCTTAGTCCAAATCCGGACCGGTCTGTAAATCTTAGTCCAGACCGGTCTGAAGGTCTTAATCCAAACCGGCCTTGAGGTCTTAGTCCAAACCCGCCTGGAGGTCTTAGTCCAGACCCATCTGAAGGTCTTAGTCCAGACCCGCCTGGAGGTCTTAGTCCAGACCGGCCTGGAGGTCTTAGTCCAGACCAGCCTGGAGGTCTTAGTCCAGACCGGTCAGCTGCCTCCATCCAAACTCTAAAGCAGCTCAAAGCCCCGGAGCAGATTTAAACCTGCTTTTCCATCACAAAGGCCCCGGAGCACAAAGGCACCGGTCATTCATGAGTTTTCTGCCAGGAGGAGTCAGAGTGGAGCCAACAGGCCGCTGATCAGGTCATTCGATCACAGAACAAAACAGAAATCACAACCAGAGCTGAGCGTCGGTCAACAAACAAACGGCAGAAACTAGGCAGGTCCCAATCCGATATCTGGATCAGATCAGCCCCAATATTTAAAAAAAAAAAACTCCATATCGGCCGGCAGATCCAGACTCCAGATCCAGTTTTTAAACTCTGATCCATCATTAGCATTAGCATCTGTTAACCCACAGGTCTATGTCCTAACCATTAGGTTGTTATCAGAGTAAATCCCTGTTCAACATGAGTCTGACAACTAAGTAAGTAGTTAAATAACCTTAAACTTTAACACATGCTCTGATAGGCCAGGATCGGAAGGGAAAAAAGCTGGAACATGGACATCCTTAGCAGAAACAGACAGTGAAAAGCTCATCAAGAAGGTAGAAAACCACTTCAAAAAGTTACAGAATCCTGAGTTTTTCCACACAAATCTGGAAAATAACCCAGGGACCTTTTACTTGCTTGGAACCAAACTCGTAAAAAACAAAAAACAGGAAGTCCAACAGATGAAGATCTGTGGCCCGTTTGACTGTTAAACCAAAATAAACCATTCCTGAAACCCTCCTCCGGATTTCTGCCTCTGACATCACCGGCTCTCATAATCACTTCCATGCGGGTCCCATTTGAGGGTTAGAGGAGCTACAGATGCTCTCAGGAACAGTGTGAGGTAATCCTCCCGGAGGGGAGGGGGCGCCTCACAGGGGCCCCAAACAAAGGCGGCCATTTTACAGCAGCAGCTCCCTCCAGCGAGGTGCTCTTTAATCGCCTCCACCTCCACCTGCTGCTCCTCAAAAGAAGAGCCCAAACCACCGAGAAAGGCTTTAAAGAGTTTAAAGTAGGGCTGCAACTAACAACTATTTTAATAGTCGACTAGTCACCGACTATTTAAACGATTAGTCGACTAATCGAATAGTTATTCACTTTTTCTTAAAAATAGCATAAAGTTGCTTTAGTTAAGTGGAAAATGATAAACGCAAGAAAAATGGGTACTTCAATGAAAAATGCATCTTTTATTCAACTTTGCAGCTGATACAAAACGTAAATAAGAATGCGTTTGTCAGGCATAACGTTAAAGCTCTCTTTTAAAGTGAAAAAACGCTTAGAAAATGTATAACGTACATAAAAGACAAAACATATCAGCATTATTGTTGCTTAAATCTTACCGAGGCCGTTTCATTTTTTTTTTTCAAGTGCCCAACATGCTTTCTTTTTAAATGCTCATGCATCACCGAGGTGCTGCCGTGATACGCAAGGTCTGTTTTGCAAACCTTTGCACGTAATTTTTTTTACTCGTCGTATCAAGGATAAAATGCTCCCAAACTTTGGAAGTTTTTGTACGCGTGTTGGACGCCGCCATTTCTGTAACCGCGACGCTGTTGTGCAGGTGACTCTGGGCAGATTGTAATTAAGTGAGATGTCTCACTCTGTTGGAAAAACACGTCTGGCGACAATAGTCGACAATGGAATTCATTGTCGATTTTTTTATTATCGATTTTTGTCGACAACGTGGACGAATCGTTGCAGCCCTAGTTTAAAGAGGCCGATTCTTCAGGTTCTGGATGTCCGAACGCATCTGGACCGGTTCTGCTGCTGCCTGATAACTTCTGTTCCACGTTTGTGTTTTTATGTAAAATGTGAACTCCGTATTTATCAGGCCAAACCACCAGATCACTGGTCAATCTATCCGCCAAACTCCTATGTTTGATTAGGGGTCTTTATTTTCACGTTGTATTTATATTCTTATGCGTTGCTTACTTTAGGGGTTTTTATTTTTTTACTTTGCATTTATATTCTTATTCTTTGCTTATTTTTGCTAAATTTAGGGGTTTTTGTTTTTTTACTTTGTATTTATATTATTATTCTTGTTTAATTTAGGGGTTTTTAACTTTTTACTTTGTATTTATATTCTTATTCTTTGCTTATTTTTGCTTAATTTAGGAGTTTTTATTTTTTACTTTGTATTTATATTCTTATTTTATTTTTGGGCTATTCACATTTAGTGTGTACTTTTTTTTAAATCTGTTTTCAAAGAGGTTTTTTTATTATTTTTTTTTATTTACCTAATCTGTATTTTTTGTATTTTTTTGCATTTTGCCCTCTTTTTTCCACTTTTTTTGCCCTGTAAGCTGAAGGTAACTTTAATTTCCTGAGGGAGTCTTCCCGAGGGATCCATAAAGTACGAGTCTAAGTCTAAATGGACCCGGAGCGTTTCCCTATGGGAGGATTATGGGCCATAAAGTCAGAGATGAACTCCAGAGCATTTTAATCTTTGGATCTTAGAGTCAATCTTTAACCTCCGGGTTACATAAGGTCCACAAAGGGCCTGAAAGCACCAGGAACGGACCAGAACCCATCAGAACCGCTGAACCGGACCAGAACCCATCAGAACCGGACCAAAACCAGAGACTCTTCTGGCCTCCAGAGGTCCAGGAAAACAACCAGCCCCCCCCAGACTGAAACCGGATGGTTAAAACCGGGGAACAGACCACCCACAGACCCAGAACTCGGGGTTCTGCCAACAGCAACAAGCTCTCGTTAAAAACCCTCCGTTGCCACGGAGACGCCGACACAAACAAGCAAATAAACAAAACCCCCTCCTCCCCAAAAAGGAGGGGGTTGTGGGGGGGCCTTCACCGGGTACAAAGGGCGCTTTGGATGGATGGAACCTGTGACCTTTGACCCCTCAGAGAGCGGGGCTATCATCTCAGGGGTCAGCACCGGACACAGCGGCCCTTTGTCTGACCGGAGCCCCTCGGATACGCCCCCCCCACAGGAAGTCTGAGCCAGCTCATCTCCTCCTGATTCGGTCCAGAACCAGAACAAACGGGCCTGATAGAACCCGTCCCTTCGGTTCTGACCCAAAACCGTCTAATCTGTGGCTCCAAAGCTAAACAAAGCCTGTTTGATCAAAGGGCTGAGGCAGACTTTGAGGAAAACATTTATTTTGCCTTTTTTTGACTGGACATTTAATTTGAAATAACCGTCTCCGGACCAGAACCAGAACAAACGGGCACCAATAGGCCCTTCAGTTCTGACCCAAAACCTTCATATCTTTGTCTCCAAAGCTAAACAAAGCCCGTTTGATCAAAGGGCTGAGGCAGACTTTGAGGAAAACATTTATTTTAACTTTTATCGACTGGACTAAAAGCATTTAATTTTAAATAACCATTTCCGGACCAGAACCAGACCCGGACCCACAGGAAGCTGAAGGGGCTGAGTGACCAATAGGAGAGCAGCTGACCTCTGAAGGACCGCCCCCTCATTTGCATAACAGCTTTTTACCGGTTGACCATTTCTTTATTTATCATTTCTTCCTTTTTTTATATGAATTTGTTTTTTTCTTTATTTTTCTCTCTTTTCTAAATGTATTTGTTTGTTTTTCTCTCTTTTCTAAATGTATTTTTGTTTGTTTTTCTCTCTTTTCTAAATGTATTTTTGTTTGTTTTTCTGTCTTATTTAAATGTATTTGTTTGTTTTTCTTTCTTTTTTAAATGTATTTGTGTTTGTTTTTATTCTTGTTTGTGTTTTGCTAGAGGCAGCATGGTGGTCTGCAGGTGGAGCATCTGGTCTGACAGCTGAGGCCCCTCAGAGACCAAGGTGAGGGGGTAGACCTGCAGAGGGCCAGGAAACCAGCCCTCCATCTGCCGTTTGGGGGGGGGGGG